GCAGAACAGGTGGCGCAAGCCCGCCGGCAGCAGGCGGAATCCCTGCTCTCCTACCTGCTCGGTGAGATGGCGAACCAGTTGCGCCCGGTCGGGCGGCTGTCGCTGCTCGAAGGCATCGGGCAGCAGGCGCTGCTGGTACTGGGCAGCGTGGACCCGGCCGAGGCCGTGTCCACGCCGGACCTGCTGAAGCGCGTGAAGGCACTGCTGATGCTCGCCGAGGTGAACCTGCAGAAGGAGCGTCTCGACGCCGTGGCCGAGGCGCTCGCCGCCGCCGAGCGCTGGCTCGCACTCGCCCAGCGCCAGTCGCCCCAGGACGAAGACGTGTTGCGACAAGCCACGCAGCTCGCTTTCTGGATGGGTGAACTGGCCTTGGATCAGGGCCGGCCCGACCTGACACGGCAGCACTGGAGCCGTTACCAGGCGACTGCCTCGCAATGGGTGAGCCTCCAGCCTCAGGCCGATGAACCGAAGCTGGAGCTGGCCCATGCCTGGGGCAACCTGGGCATCCTGGCACTGCGAGGGCTGGACTTGCCGGAAGCCCAGCGCTTGTTCGACCAGTCCCTGTTGTCGTCCCGCGACCTGCACACCCGCCACCCCGAGGTCGAGGACTACCAGAAGAAGTTGAACAACGACCTGGTCTGGGCCATGGAGACGGCGGTTACGCGCGGCCTGGGTGAGCGCGCGCTGGCCATCAGCGACGAGTTGCTGGCCTTGCAGGCGGTGCGACTCGCCGCGCGGCCCCGCGACCTGGGCCCCATCGTCGACAAGGCGCTGGCCCTGGGCTGGCGGGCCCAGGCGCTCGATGCGCTCGGTCGGTCGGCAGACGCCTTGCATGCGGCTTCACAGGCTCAGTCGCTGTTGGCGGACGCGGTGGCCGGTGAGCCCCGCAACCAGCGTTGGCGTCAGGCCTGGGTGGACCGGCAGGCGTTCTCGCTGCTCGCGGCTCTGCAGTCGGGCTCGGCGGTCGATGTCGAGCGGGCTGCGAAGGCGTTGGGCGCCGCTTTGTCGTCCGCCTCGACCTCACCGACGACCATCGTGCGTCATGTGCAGACCTTGCATGCGGTGCGCGGACTGTTGCCGGAGGAGGCGATCGCCCGGCTGGATGCGGCTCTGGCGCTGCCCGAGGGCTGGACGCCGTCGAGCCAGCGGCCGCGCTACTCGGAGCTGCGCGCTCGCGCAGCCCTGCAGATCGAGCGTGTGCGCCTGGGCCAGCTTCACCAGCGACCCATGTCCGCGGCGGCTTGCGAGACTGCGGTCGCCTATTGGTCCCCCGTCATGCGGTCCGGTGTTGCCGGCCCCGTCCCCCAGCTGTGGCGCCAGCTTGAGGACGTCTGTCGTGCGTCGTGAAATTGCGAGGAAGAACCATGTCCGCTCCCGTCGAAGCTCCCACGAAGAATCCGTTTCCGGTGACCGTCACTGCCGGGTTCGATGGCAACAACCAGCCCTACTTCCTGTACGCCGGCCCGGATGGCCAGTCCATGCGCTCGCCCTTGATCATCCCGGCGGCGCAGCCGCCCTATGACAGCATCACTTACCGCCAGGCTGGCGCCAAGAACGAGTTGCGCCTGTGGGCGGCCGTCACGCACACGCTGGACGGCACCTCGAAGATGCCCCAGGGCGACAACCTGCTGCTCGCTCACGACGGCGCCGTGACGATCACGGTGTTGCAGGGCACGTGGCGCGGCACGGTGCTGGTGTTCGAGCAGCTGGATGCCGACGGCGTGGTGACCGCGCTCGTGCCGACGCCGGATCCGACGTCGGAGAACCGCGGCTGAGCGGTCTCAGCCCAGGCCCAGGCCGGTCAGGCGCTGATAGCGCTTGCGCAGGAAGTCGGCCGCCAGCTTGGCGTCGCCGCCGACCCGCTCGCCGATGTAGAGCTCCTGCCGGCGCTCGGCGATCTGGGCACGCAGCCG